TCATCCTGTCTAGATGGGCCTGGTGAAAAGAGATGGGTATAAGATTCTTATGATTCAATAGTGAGTAACTGAGTAATAGTAAATAGTAAATGCCTAATTGAGACTGTCACAATTGTAAAGGTAGAAGTTTTGTAACAAAAACAGGGGAGTAGTTAATCTTACAGTCCAAAAACAGAGGACCCTAGGACTACCAAGGGAGAGGTGCACAAGTGGAATGTGGGACCCTATCCAGAGAAGCAGCAATACCAGAGATGGAGGTAGATATGAGGACATGGAGAGAGGGAGCAGCTGAGGACTCTGGACTCATGGAAAGAGAAATGTGTGCTGGTGGCCAGGAGGCAGGCTTGCAGAATGTGCCCTTTGGTTGTTTAAATGATTATATATTTCTGAGTGTTTTTGTATACATCCTTCCATCCCCCCAAAAAAGGAGAGGAAATAGAAGTAAATACCGTTGAATGATGATACATGCAGTAGACTGTAATCACTGCAATTAAATGATAAGTGTAAAACCAATGTTCTCCCATGTAAACTATCACCCAATTCACCATTAAAATTTTTTTTTTTAAATACCATGAGCAATTATTATATTTTTCTTATATAACATACCACTTAGGGAGGCCCTGGTAGCGTAGTGGTTACGAATCGGGCTGCGAACCTTAAGGTCAGCGGTTCGAAACTACCAGCTGCTCTGCGGGAGAAAGATGAGGCTTTCTGCTCCCGTAAAGATTTACAGCCTCGGAAACCCTGTACAGGGTCGCTATGAGTCAGAACCGACTCCACAGCACATAACAACAACAATAAGGAGTTCTGGTGGCAAAGTGGTTAAGGGCTCACCTCCTCATTCAAAAGTCAGCAGTTTGAACTGAAACAGCAAGTGAATTTACTTTCTGTTTCAAATTACAATGACATTTCTAAAATCTCAAGTCCACTTATATAACTCCATCATTGACCACCTTCCTAACACTTCTTGAATTTTTTTTTGTTTGTCTCCCAGTATTTATCTGTTTTTATACATATAAGGAGCTCTGGTATGTTATGAATCGGGCTTTCTGCTCCCGTTAAGATTTACAGCCTTGGAAACCCTGTACAGGGTCATTATGAGTCGGAACCGACTCCATGGCACTAACAACAACATTATATGGGGGAGTCCTGGTGTGGCATTGTAGGTTAATGCGCTGGACTGCAAAGTCCTTTGAATCACAAGGTTGGCCATTCAAGTTCACCAGCCACTCTTTGGAAACCATATTCAGGGTCACTATGGGTCATGTTTGATAAAGTGGAGGATCAGAGAAAAAGAGGAAGACCCTCAATGAGATGGACTAGCAGTACAGTGGCAGCAGCAATGGTCTGAAGCATAGCAATGATCGTGAGGTTGGCTCAGGACCAGGCAGCGTTTGTTTTATTGTGCACAAGGTCGCTATGAGTTGGTAAGGACTTGATGTCACCCAACAACAACAACACGTGCGCATATGTGAATGCTGGACAGGGACTAAGAAGACTGAAGCAGAATTGATACATGTGAATTATGGTGTTAGGAAAGAACACTGAAATTAACCACGGGCTGCCAGAAGAATGAATCCCAACAATATCCAATAGATCTACAATCCAGAATGCAGAAACTTATACAGCAGCATTCACTATACAGCCCTATTCACAACAGCCAAAAGGTAGAAACAACTTACTGGCCACCAACGATGGAATGGCGTATCATACAACAGAGTATTACTCAGCCAGAAAGAGAAATGGAGGCCTGATACATGTGTACAACACGACTGAACCCTGAAAACACATGAGTGAACCCTGAAAAACAGAATGCTGAGTGATGTAATCCACAAAAAGACAAGACTGTCTGATGCCACGTCTATGGAATATCTAGAACTGGAGAAGTCTATAAGCCAGGGCTGGGTGGGAGAGGGGAAGCCTCTGCTGAGGGGCACTGAGTTTCTATTATGGGGGACAAGCAAGTTTCAAAAGCAACAGCAGCGATGGTTGCACAACATGAGAAGTATAATCAATGTCACTGAGGTGTACGTGTAAGAGTACTCAAATGGAAAGCATGTCATCATATTATTATTTGTACTGTAATTAGAAAAATATTATTAGAAGTTGGGCTTTTTGTAAGCCTTATTTTTGGAATATAACATTTCCTTTCATTTATGGTAGTAAATGGGAATGTGATGGCAATCTAGGATAAGCACTGGACTGCAAACTGCAAGGTCAGCTGTTTGTGCCCACCAGCCATATCATAGGTAAAAGATGATGCTTTCTGCTCCCGAAAAGATTTACACTCTCTCGGAAACACTATACACGTTCGCAGTGAGTTAGAACGCCATGGCACTTAAAAACAACAGCAACAATATTGTAGGAAACAGTATGTAAAAATATCTCAGGTCTAGATATAAAACATGCACAAGAGTCTGCTGAGAAATACCCTTTACTATTTTACACAGCAGTTCACTCGGAATCTCTCGAATTCAGGAAAAAAAAAGTATTACAATATAATTAATTTTTGACCATTCCCTTTATCATTCATCTTACTTATTCCCATTTTTTAAAATAAAAACAATGCCCGTGAAATTCTCAGAAATGCTGTAGTACAGAGCTGCTTAATGAAATACGGCATTTGCTTACAACATTCACAGAAATTCTGAAGCACAACCAATATAGGGCAACATCAATTTAGAAATGATACATAACATTATCATTACAATTAACGTCACTGAATTGTACATGTAAAATCTTCTGAAATGAAGCATGTTTTTCCAGAAACAAATATCTAAAGTATATTCTTCAAGAGAAAGGTGAATGTGTATAAAACACCTACTGATGACAATATAGAATTAAAATGCTCATGTGTACTTTGTGCCCTGATGTGGTGCTGTAGGATAAGTACTAAATCACCAAGATCAGTTTGAGCCATAAGATTGGTGGTTCAAATCCCCCAGCTGCTCCTCAGAAACCCTGTACAGGGTCGCTATGAATAGGAACCAGCTCAATGGCACTTAACAACTCCCTGGAACTGTATACTTTATTAGAACTACAGTTATATGGTCACAAGTGGAGGAGAAATATTTTCCCATTGACAAAGAGCAGGCAGAAGAAAAGACAAAGGAGAAAGTGTTCCAAGAGCCAGGTCTATATATGAATAATGCAAAGACCCAAACTCCAGGGCCTTTCTACATGACGCAGAATCGTATCACGCCTGACTTATCCTACTCAAGTGTCGCAGAAATCATCTGGGGATCTGTTTTCTTTCCAAAATTAAGGCAATGGTATCTATCGAGAACGAAATGTTGAACAGTAAAGTGCTAAATATTCTGTATAAGATTCTTTTCGATTCATTGTTTATGAGCAACATACTAATTAACTGCTTCTAGATTATTATGAGCTGCCTAATCAAAATCCTGCTGTGGTACTGAGGGTTAAGGCACCAGCTGCAAAGCCGTTTGAACTGCAAGGTTGGTGGTTCAAGCTCACCAGCTGCTGCTCAGAAACCCTATACAGGGTCATTATGGGTCAGAACCGACACGACGGCACTTAACAACAATCAAACTAAGTTTCACAATACCTAATTTTGACTTCTCTATTTAAAACACTAAAGTCTAGTATAGAACTAAGTAAATAATATAAGTACTATTCCCTCTAATGTCTCATGATGATGTGGAAGATATGCACTGGTTAAAAATAGAAAAAGAAAGAAATAGCATGTTGATAAGTATTCCCTACAGAGTTCAGTAAGCAATATACACTTCTCTCAGCTGTATGCCACACACTTCATCAGACAGACTATGGTATTCAATGGCTTAACTATATTCCTAAAGACGCTCATTCAATCAAAAGCAATCTGCCAAAGCATTAAAAAGGCAATGATCCTTCACTGAACATGTTCAGAGAGGAGTAATCATTTTTACCATCATATATATATTCTATTTGTACAGTAGTTACATTACAAAACTTGTAAATTGCTTCTATATAAGCTCACACTGGAGTCCTGGTATGGCACTGGAGGTATGGCACTGGAGGTTAACGTGCTGGACTGCAAAGAAAGTCTGAACCGCAATGTTGGCGGTTCAGGCTCACCAGCTGCTCCTCAGAAACCCTATGTGGGGTCACTATGGATCGGAACAACAACAAGTTAACATTAAGGAGCTCTAGTAACATAGTGGTTACAACCTCAAGGTCAGCAGTGTGAAACTACCAGCAGCAGAAACATGACGCTTTCTGCTCCTGTAAAGATTTTCAGCCTCAGAAACCCTACACACACAGTGTCGCTATGAGTCAGAACTGACTCCATGGCACATAACCAACCAACCAAAAGCTCACACTGCCAAAAAATGGAATTATTCAATTGATTTTTCTTGTTCTATGTATATATATAAATTTTTTTTTTTTTCAAAGTATGTCATCATGTTAAATTACAGGATGAGGGTGCTTCAAAAAGTTCATGGAAAAATAGAATTAAAAGAAAATGGAATTTTCCCACAAACTTTTCAAAGCCCCCACATATGTACTTCATACATATGAACTGCAACACTTAATTATCTGATATAAAATATCAATGTAGTTGTTATATCTGGAGAACTATGTTTAGTAATCTAATTTATAGCAACAAATTAGATAAACAGATATGACCTTCTTTGTCATTGCAACTAAAAATGAACTTAAATTTCCCGTTTCTATTTTTCATTGAGTTTACATATTCTGAAAGTACTCACTTATAACCAAATCCCCTAACAAATATCAAGATACCTTTTAGTGCTATATTTATTCAACAACTAACAACATTACCTAGCCCCGTAAACTGCACGTGAAACGTATTAGCATCACATCAGTTCCCTAAACCCAAACTATTCCAAACATAATATGAAGAGGATGAAACCAAAGGATTATTAACACAAATGTGCACTTAGTCTCTCTACATAGTAGATAAAAATCAAGTTAGAAAAACTGTATCAGGGTATGTATTTTCAGTACTGTGAACAATCATAAGCATGCCAAACCTGTGCTCCATAGATATATTTATCCAACATCTTGCCTCCTATCGTCTGTCCTCCAATATCCCAGACTTGAAGAGTAACATTCAGGTTTCCTAGAATACAAAAAAATCAACATAAACATAAGAATACAAAAAGACAAGATTAAATAACAATGCAATGGCTGTATACATTTTTTACAGAACACAATAATTAGCAGCTACAATGAAAACACTGACCACAATTAGCCATTGATTCCGCATGGTCACAGGACCAGAGCATTGAAATTGTAAAACAAGCTGCAAACAAACTTATAGTGGGAATCTAGGTTTATCCTTTACCCCCATTCCACAGAACTTCATTCTCAATCATCTTTATAACAAAATAAAATAAAGTAAGCTTTAATTCAGACACTTCTTAAAACTTCCAAAAATAAAACGTTTCTTCAAGAGAGAATAAAATAATACAGCACATGTGTAGCAAGGCAAGAGATACACGTCCAAAATCAGTATATATGTGAATGTATGTATATGCATAGATATGTATGTGTATATATACACACACACACTTTCTGTATTTTGCTGAAGGTTCTAAAATAGAAAAAACAATTTACGACAAAAATACAACCCATAATTTTGACTTAAATGAAACAATATTTTTTTATTTGAATGTCTACTTTTATAAGTAATGTTCTCAAATTTAACTTATGAAATCGACACACATTTGACAGGTCTCTTCCGAAGTGAAGCAGGATACACACCCAGCGTATCACTGAATACCATGCACCACTCATACCTGTTCAAAGCATTTCCCTCTAAATCAATTGTTTAACTAGGCACCTCAAACCCTTCACGAAATAGTGTAACTAACCTTTTCTATACAAGCCTTATAAAAGCATTCTAAAATACTAAAAAACAATCTTTAAAATTCTTGTGTGCATTTTGCAAAAGATTTGACTAATACAAAACTCTGTGAGCTAAACTATTCTCTTTTATCAGCGCAACTTGTGACTAAACTACAAAAAACCAAGTCCGTGTCACATATTCTTTCTTCTTTTACATTTCAAACTAACTCACCTCATAACAGCAGGCCGTTTTATCTAAAGTACGCTCATTACAAACTTTTTGTTTAAAAGGGGATTTATAAAGACATGAATGTTGGGGGGAAAGAAAGTACTAATGTAAAACATTAAAATGGAATAAAGTTCACAACTGAAATGAAAAGTACCATACTGGATTCACCGGCAGAGTTTTACCGTTAACTTTATTGGGTCTACATTACCATCTTTCCGTTATGTGGATGGAGGTCTGGTCCATCTGCCAACACATAGAGGATCTGCATGAGGAACTTGCATTAGCGTTAATGAGAGCTACTGAAGTTTACCTCACACACATCCGTCACCATTCCCCAATATACACACTTCCAACATCCACAGAATACTGACCACAATGCTCTCAAAGTGAAAATATCACAGGCTAGTATTTGTCCAACAACTTGCACTAACTTGTATCAAGCGGCCTCAAATTAAACAGGTGAGAATGGGCTAGTCAGTACTAAGCTCAGTTGCTGCGGAGTTCGTTCTAACTCATTGCTATGTTGCCTGTTGTTAAGTGCCACTGACTCAAAGCAATCCTATGTAGAGTTGCCAAGGAGCGGCTGGTGGCCTTGAATCACCGACCTTGTGGTTAACAGTCCAGTGCTGTTTCTCCAGTGCCACACCAGGAATCCGAGTCATTGCTAGAGTATTTCATATCGTTTCAGATGGCCCTACATAAGCAGCCATTGCCCTATTCAGTTACCTTGTAAAAGTTTACAGCCATTTGCTTACTTACTTCAAAAAATAATGTTTCACAATGCTAACGATTAGAGAATAAGTAATATCTTGTTGTTATTGTTAAGTGCCATCAAGTCGATTCCAACCCATAGCGACCCTGTATAGGGTTTCCGAGGAGCAGCTGGTGAGCTTGAACCACCAACTTTGCAATTCAAACAACTCTGCAGTCTGACATATTAGCCCACAGTGCCACACCATGTAATATCTTAGGTACCGTTTAATAATCAATAAAAGACACTGAACGATGCCATTTTCCTCATGACCACTCATCTCTATTGCTTAACCTCACATCAGAAATCCAAGGCTTTTTGCCCTTTATTGTTTGTTCCTTGAGTTCTGCTGTTAAGATCCTATCTGGCCGAATGAAGTGCTGGGAACACTTCAACTATAACTTTAGGAACATGATATTCATTTCATGTTTCCAAATTCTGACCACAATGATTTTCGGATCCTAAGTCTTCTATTCAATTGTCTATCATCCAAGCAGTTTTTATTCCTGTGCTGAAGGTATTTTTTTAATCCACATAACCCTTGTTTCTCAGTGCTATTGTTGTTTTCTTTTATGTACAAATTCTAGTGACTCAGAGATAAAAACCAGCTGTCCACTGCTGACAACCAACTGAAAATATACCGGTATGGTGCTGTGGGATAAAGCACTGCGCCACAAGGTCAGCAGTTTGAACTCATCGGTCACTCCTTGGAGACCCTATACAGGGTGGCTATGAATTAGAACCGACTGGACAGCACTTAATAAGAGTGGTAGCAAAAAAAAAAAAAAAGGACTTTTACTAATTATAGCTTCAACAAATGATTTTTAACTCCATAGTTATTTCATACATCTAGAATTATACTTTAAATTTCCACATATGAATGTTAGGTTTATTAACACATTTTTAACAAATCAATAATCCTTTCTGGTTTTGTAGGCATAAACATATGTAGTCTCCTATTCTATTTCCAAAATAACATATCTACAGAGGTTTTTTTTATAAGAGCATTTAAATAAAATTACAAAGTAGAAAAAAAATTTAAATCCATCTAATATAAATGTCTAACTTTAAAATTGTCATCACTCTAACCCCAACTGCAAAATGCTACAAAATCCCTGCTCCTCTGGAAGACATGACACATAACTAGCAAGAAAGATAAAATAAATGAGGTGACAAAATACAGGTAAGCTGCTTTTGGTATAAATCAAAGCCACCAAGAGGATTACACAGTGACCTTGTGAAAGTACACTTGGTGCCTTGGTTAGCCTTACTTTAAGTGCTGCATAGTCAAGATGGAACTAAAAACACAAGTCTGCCCACTTCTTGTACTAAAGACTTAGAAATCCTTTTCACAGTAGAACGCTGTTTACTGGACTGTACCCACAAGCTTCCTGAAAGTATTTTGACTAAGGCTCTTAAGCAGCTCTATCAGCAGAATCTCTGACTAACAGATACACTATTTTAAGCAGTGAAATCTGCACAGTGGTTGCATCCAGACTATACAGCATACCAGATCAAGTAATACCCTGAAATGGATGAGTATTTGCAAAGTAATGACCTTGAAAACTCCATGAAGAGAATGTGAATAGATGGACAGAAGACATTACAACCCTAAACAGCTGGACTAGTCAGCAAACTTATAAGAATACTAAAAAATATTAGATCTCCTACTATACAATTTTACTATAAACTAAAGATTGCTGCCTGTAATTGTTATAACAAATGACACAAATATTAATCATCCTATACTTGACACTTAAGAGTGAATTAAAATTAAGATTAACATATTATATTATTATTAACATATTATAATATTATTAACATAACATATTATATAAAGGTTATAATATGAGTTTTGTCATTTATTCACTCATTTCTTAATCTACCTATTAACTATATAAAATTAAGATACATTCAAACATTTTTTTTCCTATTGAAATTTCTACCATTATTTTGAGTCCATTAAACCACTATCTTTGAAAAAAAAAAAAAAAAATAGAATTTCTTTCTTGAACTTTGCCTATCAAAATAAAAGTTTAATCTGAAACGTGAAATACACATTCATCACATGTATATACCTCCTGATGTAATTTTTTTAACCTAAGTACTTTCTTATTCTAAGATCTAAATATTGTGATGTAGATTTGGATTCCATGAAATATCAAAGCATTTTAATTAGTAGTAATGTGCCACAAATAGAAATCTGTCTAAAATTAAATATACATATACAAGGGGCTTCAAAAAGTTCATGGAAAATATGGAATTCAGAAATAATGTAATTTTTCCATGAACTTTTGGAGGCCCCCAACCTCCACCCCACATAAAAAATAAGCCTTAGTTCTGAATATATGACAGAGTCGGTCTTTGCTCCTTATTTAAGCCTTCCAACAAAAAAAATCAGAATAATTAAACACTATTATGAGACAGAAAGTTGGTGCTTTTGCTAATTCAGAATCCAAACAAAACAGCTAATAACTGAACCGATATTTGCAATGCATGCACAATGTACAACTGGCATCCTTAAGAAAAAAAAAAAAAAAGCAAAACTTGAAAACTAAGAATTCAGTATACAGAATTGTAAGATAGCTATAGATATTCTGAATGTAACATTAACCTGTCCATAAGGATGAGAATAAAAAAAAAAATTTTAATGAGATTTTCAGCTCTGAATACATAGAAAGAAATCACAAATGAACCAAATGTGCACATGTTTCTCATGAACCCACTTTCTGAACAATAACTTCATAATGGAAAAACTAGAATTCATTTCTAATGCTGAGTCTTCTCATCTATTTTTCACTGATAGCAGAATACAAAAACATATCAAAGTATGCATATTACTAACGAGCACAGAGAATCTACCTGCCATTACTAAGAGCTTTCATTAGCGGCTCTAAAACTTTCCTGGGAGCCGTCTAATAGATGAGGTGTTTGAGAGGTTAGCCTATTTCAGTTATACTAGAATTTATGGAACCTCGTCCCACTATATCACTCCTGTTTCAGCATATTAACCTGACATCACACTTACAACTGTTTTATTCAAATGTGTTTCCTCTGAGAAGAGAGAGAAGAGGGATCGACTGGTTTACAAGGGATGAAGACAAACTGCTTTTAATAAAATACTTTAAATGTAAAATTTAACCATTGCAAGTGAATGGACAGAGTATTTTAAAGCCCCAATTGTTCAGAAACTAACTTAAAACAGAAACCACTCTCTTTTTTTGTTATTATTTCCCTGTATTTCCCACAAAATGTGCTGCAACTGGCATCTAAATAGTTTCTTTGCATGGTGAACTGAAACATCTTGAATGCTCAAACTGTATTTTTATGAGTGCCTGGGGACCCTAAATTTTAGTGGTCTATTAAATGCCAGCAATTTCATGCTGCCTTGCATAAAACAGCATTCACATATTAGAGCACAGAAGCTCCATAGCTACATTATACTTCTGTTCCAACTTTCTCTCAAACAAAAAACTCAAGCAGAGACTAATCAAAATAAGATTTTAAAAAATAATCCTTCCCAATCTTTTCACATTTCATTAATATAATATCTGTTGCCAATTGTATAGCATCTGATTTTTTAAAAACATTTTAGAATCTTATAAGCAACTATTGTTTACCATTGAGTAATGTACAGTGGCCAAAAAAAAAAAGCAGAGACAGGGTGTAAAAGTTTTTTTCTCATACTCATGGCCTACAGGCTGATGAAAGTTAACCTTCCTAAACTAGATTTATTGATTACATATATTTTCATGCAGCCACAAAAAATTATTTTACAAATTTCTGCCTTACATCTTTGATTGGGAGATTTGTACAATCGTCCATGTAAAAACATTTTAGGCTCTTACCTGGCAACGTTATCCTTCTCAAAAAGAAATCCAGTCCTATAGTTTGTTTGTACTGTTTCCCAAACGTTTCTTGAGCAAAACATGTGGCTAAGGATGTCTAAAAAAATGGAAGCACAAAATATTAGAATTAATTCAGCTAGCTTAGAACTTTGGACACAAGCACACTACTGAATCTCATTAAGACTCTTTACATGTGTATGCCCATTAATCCACGAAGCAACGTTACGCAGTTCTACTCAGTTTCTCCTACAAAGGGAGCAGAAACACAGGCACCAGAGAAATTGCACTTGACAAACGTTATCGGTGGTAACAATGAACTACTCCAATAGAGTGCTTTAAATCCTGATTGTCCAGTTCCTTCTCCTTGATACAAAATGTAATTTGAGGTTTACCAATAGAAAAAACTAAAACAGCATGATTAAAGATCTAGGATGCTAACATCCATATACATCAGTTCAGTAAAAATCTCAAAAAATTCTAACCTTCATTTCTGAGGCTAAATATTCTTAAGGGTAGCACGTACTCTCTGCTAATAATTGTTGTAATTATTGCTAAGTGTCGTCAAGTCGGTTCCGACCCACAGTGACCCTATATAGAGTTTCCGAGGAGCAGCTGGTGAGCTTGAACCTCCAACCTTGTGGTTCAAACCGACTTTACAGTATAGTACATTAACCCACAGCACCACACCAGGACTCCTCTGCTAATAATAAGAACTTTTAAGGAAAGTCTGCTTACAGAACCCTTTTCTTTCCCATAATGAAAAGTATCTTTAAGTGTCTAATCTGTGTTAATATTAAAAATACTAAATAAAAATGATTCTACACAATGACTGATAATTGTTGTCATTGGTAAGTGCTGTCCAGTTCTAACTCACAGTGACCTAATATAGCTTTCTGAAACTGTAAATCTTTGCGTGAGCAGAAAGCCTCATCTTTCTCCTACGGAGCAGCTGGTCGGCTCAAACTGCTGAGCTTGTGGTTTGCAGGCCAGTGCATATCCTACAGAGCCACCATACTCCTAGACACTGATAATAAGTATCTTTAAATACAGAAGTTGGTATTTTTAAGATTAATGTACAGCAGATATCTTCTAGCCCGTGAACCATCTAGCTAAACAGTCACAAGAATATTGTAACCACAATAGAGATACATCACTTTTTAAAATTAAAAACTTGAAAGTTGTATTCCAAAACTCAGGTGATATCTTTCAGAGTAAGCACCACTTCTTATCAAAGTAAAATGTTGTTGTTGTTAGGTGCCATCAAGTTGGTCCCGACGCATAGGGACTTTATGCACAGCAGAAGGAAACACTGCCCAATCCTGGGCCAACCTCACTACTGTTGACTGAAACAACTCGGAGGCTTGTAAATGCACTCTTCATATTGGTCAAGTTCCCCGAAAAGCAGCAGCAGCTGCACTAAGCTTTTATGGTCCTCAAGACAAGACTTTTAGAAAGAGTTAAGAGAAAGTAGCCTCTTTAAAAAAAAAAAAAAATCTAAAAGTTAAAATTAGATGTCAGCTCTTAAAATAATGAAAAGTCAGATAAAATTTCCAAGATAGCTCATTATATCTAATTATGATGTAATTACAGCAATGTAAAAGAAACTTGGCCAAATTTCAATTCCTTCAAACAAGACCTAAAATTCCTCTTGACACAAGAACCATAATTTTCATACAAATGTTAATTCGTGTACCCTAACTCCAATTTCTAAAAAATATTTAAATACTGAGCATTTGTAGCTAATTTCTGAACTATGTGGTCAAATATTGGTTGAGAACTACCACCTAAAGGTGTACTGTTAGACATTAACAAATAAACATTCTACACTAAAATGAAAGCATATTTGGCTTCTCTGAAGCTTATAACAGTAATATCAAAACTGAGAAACCAGAATAAAAAAGGTAAGCATTCCTTTATAAAGCCTTTAGCTTGTCATGTAGCCTTAATTATACCATCGAGCTGGTTTAAGAGAAAAATATTACTATTCATATTACAAATATTACAAACTATTTACTAGATGGATGGCTGAATTACCTTCAAAAAGTCGAAAGAAACGCTCAAGGCACATGCAGCATCAGCATAAAGTCATTTAAGGTAATTTTTCCCTTCCACTTAAATTTCTCAATTCAATCTTTTACACTAATAAGTAATTTAGAAAAACTCTAAGTTCTTTAAAAAAAAAATCTAGATTTTTAAAAACCACACCCTCACACCTTTTTGGGGGAAACATAAAGCTAGTGTTTTCAACAGGGATAGAGTATAAAATGTCAAAGTAGGTATAGGCCACTGGCAACACAGAATATTACAATGGGTTCTTATCGTAACATATCCTAACACAATGCTGGGGTACCTTTCCCTTCAAATATCTGGACTTCCCGCCATCTTTCACATTTTCTCACAAGTCATTGTATACACACGCCCTTCTTAAACAATTACAAAGTGAACAACCTTCCAACAGATTTAAAACATTTTTATCTGATTCTATTTTTGGTTTGGAGAAATTATGCTAACAATTTTTAATTACACTACGTTTATTAACACTAAAATGATACCATAAAATAATCATTTTACAGAAAATAGTACTAGTAAGTAATAAAATAAAAAATATGAATCAGAAGAGGGAGGTTAAATATCTCTTGGAGGAACTGTTAGTGGTCGTCTCAGTTCTGAATTATTTCTGCAGCACATATGAAAAAGCCCAGAGTTAGAATTAACAGGAAAAATAGATGCTAGAAAAAATGACCAGGACTGAAATAAGATTGACAAAGATGTTAAATTCATGAAAGAGGATAGTAAAGAAATAGAATGGGAATGTTGGTAGCAGCCAATAATTGAAAAGCAGAAAGAATTAGGGTAATAAAATGCTTGATATACTATGAATGAAAGGTTAGGGTCATAAGATTAGTATCAGAAAATTTCCAGCAGAAAAAGCTAATACGGTTTGGAAACATTATTTAGGCAAGATGAAGATTGATCCAGACCACCAGAGTATCACTACTAATATTCTTCGATGTGCAAAGCTAGTCCTCATTCAACAATATAGAAATGACTGAATTTTTGAAGACATTTTAAAATATACTTACTCAGACTAAACTAGTAATGAAGGGGAAATACCTATGGTAGACTATACGAAAAAGTAGATAGAAAACTATTAACAAATTTCAACTACTACATTTGTACCCAAAACCCCACTGTTGTCCAGTTGATTCCAGTGCATATGATCCTAAATGACAGACTAGAACTGTCCCAGCGTTTCGAAATCTGTCAACTTTACCGAAGCAGACAGACACACTTCTCTTTCAGAGAATGTAGGATGATGGTCAATTTGGGAATCTGTATACAATAGTACTAGTAATTTTACAAGTATCATTATAATTTGAAACAGGAAATAAACTCACTTACGAATTGAACTTAATTCAATTTAGGAAATGAAACGGGAAATGTGCATGCGGAGAAAATTATAAAAATTTAACTTTCGGTTTTTATTGAAGTTAATAAAGGTGTTAGAAACACCGCTGATAATGTATAACAATCACCCATTCAAAGGCGGTTTTTTACGGGTATAAAAATTCCTGCAACACTGCATAAAGGCACGTGATCCCAAGTTCTTCCCTCCCCTAGAAGTTGAAAGGTAATCAGAACCTATTAAGAAGCTTTCCTCGGTAATAAAAACCAGTAACAAAGGATCCAGAGAGGCAGAAAGCTCACAGAAGTCTCCAAACTTAGCACATGAATGACACCTTTCCCAGAGAACCTAGGAACCAATCTCAGGACCGCGGGCAGGAGCCGCAGTCGGATGCCAAAAACGGTGGTTGCGACCGAAACTAGGGTCTACACTACACTGCAGCAGGCACGCGGGAACGTGCAGCAGCAGTAAACCCGCAACTAGTGCACGGATAAACCACGTTTCTGAAGCCTCATGTAGAGTCAGAGGGAGAGGAACATAACACCCCCAGAAAGTGCGTCGGCACCTCAGACAGAACGTGTAGATGCGTGCACCCTGCAGGGGCCTCTTCGCTGTATTGGGGGGGCGGGCAGAGAGCCCTACGAGAGTCTGTGGGTCCTCTCCTCCAAGCCCCCAAGCAAGCACAGGCAGGGTTTATTCCATTTCCGGAGTTCCAGCAGGTAAAGGGGCTGGCTGACAAGGATATTCTAGCACTCATTCATTCATTCATTCATTCCTTGCACGCTTCGCAGCTCCACCTCCGGCGTGCAGCCCGGGGTAGAGTAACTGCTCGTGCTGGGGTCGCCGAGGAATCCTTAACGTTTATTGAGCGCACAGCGCGTTCTCAAAGCTCTACGTGTGTTTGCACAGTGCAGCCTCCCAAGAACGTCGGGAGGTGCGCCCTGCCCTCTCCATACCCACATGGCACAGGGGACACACGGGGTCAGCGATTGTCTTCCGCTGAGCCTCGGCTCCACTGACTTCTCGGGGGCATCAGAAACGGTAAAAGGGGTACAGGGCGGGAGGGAGACCGGGACGAAATGCCTGGCAGCTCGTCATCGGTCCTGAGAGGTGAGGAACTGGAAAGCTTCCCAGGGAACAGGGAGGCGATGCTGGCCTCGATCCATAGCCAAGCTGGGAGATGGGAAGTGGCTTTTCGCTCTTTTCTTTCCTTTTTCTTTTCTTTTTTTTTTTTTTTTAGGGGGAGCTGGATAGCTCTCGTCCGCCGCCTCCGGACACCGCTCGGTGGGCCCGGGCCTAAACGTCCCAGGCTCGGGGTAACAAAGCGACGCCCAGCGGCGGGGATGAGGCTGGGGGGACGCCAGGCCGCGCTGGGGTTCCTGCCGGTGTGAGGACTGACCTTCCCGGAGGTACCATCCCCCAACACGACGATTTTCAGTTGCCGGTCCTGGCTCTCCTCCTCAGAGTCCGACATGGTGTCCCGAGAACTAGGCCCGCCCCCCGAGGTGGAGGAGTGAGTGGAGGGACGGAGACTCCGGGGGCGGGGGAGAGGAGGAAGGGCGGCCCAGGAGGCAGGACCCCCCGCCCCGGGGGTCTCCGCGGCTGCTGGAAGGATCCGGGGTGACTCACTCGCTGGGCGCCATCTTGCCCGCCTCCCCTCCCCACTGCACGCGGCCCCGCCCCCTGAGGGCTGCGTCGGGCACGCGCCCCCCGCCTCTAAGCCAACCCGCGCCTACCGTGAGCCTGTCTGGAGAACCAGACCACTCTCGGGCATGACTCTGGGGGTAACCGTACAGGCGGAAAGGCGAGACTCCTCGCTGTCCTGGCAGAGACAATTGGAAAGAGAAAAATTGAAAGTATGTAATTAAAACTAGGCAGAAATCTGGGCTCAAAGTCTCTCTCAGGGGGTTATATCAAAGCCCCCCCTTTCCTGGCCCCCGTAAGATTATCCTTGAAACAAATGGTTCAGCCTAGAATTGGAAGGGCGGGGGTGACGCTGGGCTGAGAGCAGCCGTTGCCATGGATGCAAGGAGTGGGCGGGGCGGTGTCAACGCAGAGTCTGTTTCTGGGTACCCGGGACGCTTGTTGCCTAGCGGAGCGCTGTCGGGACTGGGATGGGCGCCTGTTGTAGCGCCTGGAGTGGGGATGATCAGAGAGCTGCAACGGCGTGGCGGGTAGAAGCGTGCGCTTAGTAAGAGCCGCGCTGCGGGACGAAGAAGCTGCAGTAACGACTACGAATATAATGAGGGCTATATGAGCGTTGGTTTCCTGCTGGTCCAAGATCTAGCCCGCTAATTCATTAGACAGGCACTGGATGCCTGCCTCCTAACACAGGACATTTACCCAAGAGTAAATGGTTCTCGCTGTGAAGTCTGGGAGTCCCGATGAAGTCAAGACAATTTTCATCATCACACACACACATGATTTCCCTTTTTTACATGAACTCTCTCTTATACAGAGAAGTTTTTTCCAGATAACACACGGCAGTACACAATATCACTTTGGCAGCTAAGGGAATGTGTGCCTTTTATTTCTTCTGTTTAGACATTTCCCATAGTAATTTCAGTACAGTAACAATAGCTGTGTGGGACAGTGGTTGTTAAGTGATAGAATTCTTGCCTTCTATGCAAATGTTTCTGGTGTGCATCTACTCCTCATAGCTCAGTGGAGTCTTGCTTGTTGCTGTGCCTCTGATCAAGTTTCAAAGGAACAGCCAAACTAAGATGGATGCGGAGGAAAGGCCTGGCAATCTACTTCCAAAAAATTAGCCAATCACAACATTCCAAACTGAAACCCTTCATGAGGATGGGGCATGAGTGCCTTGTTGTTAAGTGCTGTCAGTCAATTCCGACCCATAACAACCCTGTATAGGGTTTCCAAGGAGTAGCTGATGAGCTTCAACTACTAACCTTGCAGTTCAGATGACTTCGCAATCTGACACATTAGCCCACAGCCAAGACCCCGTGAGTGCACTGTGTCGCTATAAATTGAGGGCCAACTCAGCAGCTGTTAATAATTACAATGATAGCCCAGATATTGGGGTTCACAATATATTTTTTAATGTTTTATTGTGAATTATGTGATACTTTACATGGGAGAACATTAGGTTTACATTCATCCTATCATATATCCTTTCATTGCCATGGTTACAACCGCCCCCCATGCATCATCAACCAACCAGAGGATATACCCTGCAAGCCTGCTCCACCCTCCCACCCCACCCTCACCCCCGCACCATCAGCACACAGCCCCTCTCCCTCCCTGAGTCTAGAGTCCCCAGCTGCTCCATCTTTCCACTTCATCGTCTCTGCCTCCATCTCTGGCATCACTGCTTCTCTGGGTAGGGTCCTGCTCTCTGCTCTTCTCCCTTGATGGTCCCAGGGACCTCCACTCCTAGACTGAAAAGTTAATCACTCCCCTCCTTTTGCTACAAAAATGTCTACCTTTACATTTCCAACCCTCACAGTCAGTCCTGATAACAATTATTCACTATTGTATTACAAGAGACCTATCCCAGACGATTGGATACCACTTAGTGAAGATTCTACCTTCCTATGTGCCCTCTGGATCTAGGCTCCCTCTTGAAAACTTATAAGCCAGTCACTTCTTGCCTTTGTTCCCCGCCCCCACCCCCCCATTTTGGGTAGCCAATGTCCAAGTTGCCCATCCTTGTCTACTCTGTGTATGGAGGGGGTGGGAATGATCCTCACTATACAGATTTGTTCCCTCTTTTGAGCCACTGCATACATAGGTGTAGGTCAAGTTCATCAAATTGTTTCAGATTACTCTTTTTTTCCCTCTTCTCATTGAGCTCTGATCATCCAGTCATTGAAGCCAGGTCAGGTGAGTATTATCTGCAAGTGTGGATGTTCTTATACATATGCCCTCTCTTATCAGCTGGACTTTCACTCTCCACCCTAGTCTTCTGTGGCTATACCACTGACTCTGGGCCCAAGAGTCCCCAGGTCTTGCCACACTGCTGGCCAACCAGGTCTCCACCCGGGTTCACAGGAGTCTACTGAACGTTGTAGGGCTTAGCTCACAGCTTCATTCACAATAATTTTTTTAAAATGCAGATGCCTGGAGTACAAAAAGTGTGAGAACTGATACCCTGGATAATCTCAGCTCAACATAACTTAATATTGCAATATAGTGAAGTCAATAAAATAATAATGCTGGTCTACAGTCTTTGTCCATTATTAATCAATAACTTTGCATAAATGATCTGATTTAGTACTCATATCCATCCTATAAGGTAGCTATTAGAATTGTTCCCGTTTTACAGATAAGAAAACTTACCTAAGAAGTAATAGTCTTGGAAAGCATATAGGAATTAGAATGGGGAGGGAATTTAGTATAAAGAAGTTCCCAGCCCTAGAGGCACCTAGAGCATTGGGCCTTGAACCACACCTGTAAAATAGAGGTACAACGTCTTTCGTGTTCTTGTTAGTGCCGCCTCGTCAGTCCGACTCATAGCAACCTTGTATAGGGGTTTCTGATGTGCAGCTGGTGGGTTTGAACCACCAACCTTTTGGTTAGCAGTTCAGTGCTTAGCCTACAGTGCCACACCAGGACTTCACTTCCCTCACAGAGCTGAGAATTAAATGAACTAATCAATGTAGAGTAATATGTTGTTGTTGTTGCGTGCCATGGAGTCGGTTCCGACTCATAGCGACCCTGTATAGGGTTTCCAAGGCTGTAAATCCTTACGGGAGCAGAAAGCTTCATCTTTCTCTCGTTGAACGGCTGGTACACAATACCAAATTCATAAGCACTACGCTACCAGAGCTCCTTGTAGAGTAAAATAGATAGCACAAAGTGTGACATATTCTAAGCACTTGATAGTAACCATTCTAATTATCACCTGCATCATCATTATTAGAATGATGGGTGCTAATCTATGTCTGAGGATCACCGATTTCACATCATGTTGCATTAGGCCGGCTGCAACCTGGAGAAAGAGCTGGCCTGCAGTAGGAAGTACCACATTAATATCAATTCACAGTTCTGTCCCCATCCACCACCAAGCACTTTCTGCATCCTGGGTTTGCTAAGGAGAATTAGAAGGAAAGGGGGACGTGAAAGACCGATGAACATTTCTTTGTATTTATTAATTTAAGAAATGTGTTTCTAATTTAAGATAGACTTACTCTCTACCTTTTACATGAAGGAAGTTAAATGTAACAGAAATTTGCTTTTCTGCTCTTCACTGGAGATGGATGTGAGACTCACTTTTGACCAGTGAGTTGGAAAAGGTACTTGTGGAAAGACTTCTCTTGCTAATTAGGAAAAAGAGAACAACCCATATACACTCAAGACCTCCCCTTCCATTCCAAGTGACAACAGGAAGGTACAGGCGCCTTCAGTCTACCATTTGTGTTTCTTATATGAAATAAGAAGACATTCTAGTGAGATATTCCCTTACCTGTAGACAAAAAAAGCATCCAAACTGGCACAAATAATTTTGTCAAAAGCTAGATTTTGCTCAAGTCCTGAGAGTGCTTTTCATGAATATTCCCAATTCAAATTGTCATTTTCTGAGATGACTCCTGGCTGATACTGAGAACGAACTGATGTGGAGACCACCTACATCCCTAGGATATTGTTCCCAAATGAGACAAAAAGTCCACAACAGAATCTTAGTGATCATATCTTACACATGTAAGACAAGATTCCAGGCTTCAA